GAAAAACTTCAAAATGACGGACCCAATATGGTGGACAAAAAATCAAAATCTATTGGATTCCCAGTTATTATCCCTTTCTCTTTCTCTCTCTCACTCTCTCTCTCTCTCTCTATCAACATCAATTTGATATGATGATACGGACGGCAAATACGGAAGGGCGCACGTTAACCGATTTCTTTTTTAAAGGAAAAGTGATACCTCAGAGGTGGTCCCATACTAATTTGGTTTAGATCCGATCATTTGAGCATGAAGAAATTAGCGGTAATCTTAAAATATAGGAGAATTGAAGTCTAATTTGTTTTTTGCTAAAAATTACTTGTTCAAACGATGAACAAACGTAATGACAGAGATTGCTCTTATTTCGAAAAAGTTTATATTATATGTCACAAAAAACCTGGAAATAAACAAAGTTACTCATACCAAATTATAGTGCAATCTAAAGTACAATAACTTACATAATACATATGTATGCCTCTATGTACATATGTATAAAGCATTACAAAATTTCTTGTTTAGTTGTTGTTTTGTTGAACTAAGTATGACAAACTTTTAAGCATTGCACAAAAGTTATGCATTTTGGTGGAAACTTTTTTCGTTTACTCTTCTATTTATTTGTATTTTAATTTTTTGTAGTATAAAAACATAAAAACTCCGCAAAAACACGTATTCAACAAAAATTCCTCGCCTGCATAACAATGACACTAAAGCAATAGCAACCACTACACTCCATATGACAGTGCGCCTGGCACTCCCAAAATGCTTCCACTGTACGCTGGATGACGCTGACATGCAACCTAGCTTAGGTCTAGCTATGCACAAACGAGTACATACATACATACATGCATACGGATATAGGGGTGGCTGGCCGATTCTGACTGGCAGTATGCCTTAGGGGCTGCATGCTTGTCTTGCTGACATTGCCAGTACTTCGCTTTTTTTGTTCCGTTAAAAGACTACCTACTTTTTGCTCTGTCTTTTTTAAGCAAACTTGACTTTTGTACCCAAAGTGATAGTGTCTACTCTGCGTGGTTTTTCGCCTAAAAGCGCACCTCGATTGTAAAAAAACTTTTACTTATAGCGAAACGCGCGCCCAGGCTTTAGTAAAGAATTACTAGTAAAACTCATACAAGGTAAATACTATACATAGAAGCACAGTGTACAATACAGACTTACGTGCAAATATACAAACTGCGGACTAAGAAGCAGCGTCAAGGGCAGCAAATTTTCTTTGGTAAAACTTTCTCAAGTAGTGTGGCTTTTCTCTACTAGCGCTCCCTCCGCTAGGCATAGCAGCTGCACCACAATATTTGTACGTCACGTGAAAGTATGTACATACATAAATATTTGAGTCATTAAGTGAAAGTAGCATTTAATATTCCCTTGAATTCAATAACATTCATTTCCAATGTAATCTCAACTTGTGAATAACAAAACCAATTATATATAGTTCTAGTATTATAGTACATTGTGGTCAAAGAACAAATAAGTAAGTGATTTTATTTTCGCAGTAGTTGTTTTAGCATAGGCTGTTCTCTCCGACCCACACAAAACTAGTTATGTTTTTCACTAGAAGGAAAAGGTGGATTGACTTGTTCGTCTCACACTAAGAGGAATGAATATTCCGTTCCTATTCAATGTTGTAGTTGTAATTTTTAGAGCTTCACGAAAACGCTTATTGCACGAGAACTAGTGAAGCGATTTTGAAGAAAAGTGTGCCGTTTCAAAGACAAAATTCCACACCTATCGACAGATACATTTATGTAAGTAACCGATGCGGTGTTTGTCGTAGAAGCAACAGGAAATATTGACTTATTTTGGGGTCAATTTTGAGCCTTAAAGTGGTCTACCAACTTATGGTTGGCAGATATAACTTTCATTTTTGGGATATAGGTTCTTTGGAGCAGTAGAAATATTATTGTGTACAAATTTTATATAAATTCAACAAATATCGAGCAATTAAAAGCAAAAAATTTTTGAAAAAATTTGCAAATTTTTTTCATTACCAAAATACTCGAAAACCGCTCGAATGATTTTGTTTTTATTTTCTTTAATCATAAATTCAGATATCTTCTAAGTACATACATATGTTTATCTTATTCAAATATATGGGCATAAATGATTTTCCATACAAAATCACTTCAGTCAACATTTTGCAAATACGTGCATGTGTAAAGAGTTAGGTGCTGGCAGAGTCAAAAGGATACCAAAAACAAATTGCGCTGGTGAGGGGAAATATGTATAAGCTGATCGCAGCATGTTTTGTGCCCATGCACGTACATATGTATGTACATTGTACATCCCCATATATACATATATACATATGTATGCATAATAGCGAAAGCTTTTTTGCCATATCATCAGATCTGGGCTTGGCCTGTAGATGTGCAATAGCTCCTAACTTTTTCAAAAAGAGTTGCCGCCTGCTAAAAAAATTAAGTTCAAATTATTTTTAAGTTATATCAATTATTACACTATGAGTATCGATCGAAATGGTTTTAAAAAGGCTTTATATATAGGAGGCATATGTAGGAGGGCTGCCACCTATTTCAAAAAGGAAGTTCGACTTAAATAAAGGCAGAGAATTGAAATATATATCCTGATATGGATGTCAGACGAAAGAGGTTGTGATTTGAAAATATTTTGAATAGGGCTGCCACCCGTTTCAAAATTAGAATTAAAATAAAGTATGCATGAGTTAAATGAAATATTAAAACATTACGTGAAACGAAGGCAGTAAGATATCCTTAGTTTAAATATTTAGATTATAAAAGAGGGTTGCCACCCCCCAAACACGTAAACTCAAATTATTTAATAAGTTAAAGCAATTATTAAAAATAAGGGTATCAAATGAAATGGGTTTAAAAAGGCTTTATTTCTGAACTGTATTTAGGAGCGTTGTCACGTATTGAATACATCAAATTTAACTTAATTCATCAGGCACATGAAATATTTATGTTGGTATCAGAATATGAGACGCTAGTGATTTGTTTATTTCTTAACTATATTTAAGAGAGTTGCCAGCTGTTTCAGAAGTCTTAAAGCATAAACAAACGGATCAACTGCAGTTAATTCCCGAGTTGATCCGGATCAACGCTGCCGTCTGTTTAAGCTTTTAGCTAACTTATGCACAAATCCGAAGACAAAAATAATGCGAACACGAGCATGAACTCGAAGAAGAATACTAATACGGGGACCTAGGCTGATATATGTAAAAAGTAATACGAATTTCTGCAGTATGAAAGGAAATAAAAATGGATCGAAATAATGATACACGTCATGGCATATGTATGTATGTATATTTATTTATAAGCTGATGGTACATATGATTGAAGTTCATGTGGATCTGCTTCTTTATTGCTAAGTATTAATATTTTGCAATTCATATTGATTTATTATATTCAATTCAATACAATCAAAACGAAGGTTCTTCCAGTCAATGAGGTATGTACATGAGTTTTCATACACAAAATATTTAACTAATATAAACTAATTATTTTTCAATTCACTTCAATTTAAGTTGTTCCTTGCGGAAGGGAAAGGTGTGCGAATAAATGCTTGTATGTATTGGAAATTTTGTGGTCCGCAATTTGGCTTAGAAAGTTATTATGTAAAGTTGAAAAACCGAATAACGACGAAAACTTTCGTATTTTCATATCCCTATTCAGTAAGGATGCATAGAGTAAACAACATAGCGTCACCTAAATGTGAAAAGGTGCCAAGTCCGTTCTTTTAAATTGTTCAGGAAAGACTAAAAATCGATATGGTAGTACCTGCCATTCTGCATCAAAAACTAAATTTTGAAGAAAAAAAATGTATAGAATATAAAATCTTTAATGCCTCCAGAAATAAAATTTTTGGCTTTTATTTTCTAAAGCCTTACATTAGGGCTGGGAACTTCATCCGGATTTTTCAACTATCCGGATAAACCGAATATTCGAATATCCGGATACCTAAAAGAAAAATCCGGTTACTCTGGAAGCTAAGATAACCGAATATCCAAATTTTTCGTTATCAAAATGATATTTTCATTTCCCAATACCAGGCGCTCATAAATGTGTAGTAACAAGTTTTATATTTCGCACAAAATTGTTTGTATAATTTTTTAAATTTCCAACATTCTACTTTGGAATTTCAAAGGCTTCTACAAACGAATGAAAAACTTCAAGAAACAAATTTATGCGTATAGAAAACTTGCTACTTCATGTGCATGAGCGCCTGGTATTGGGAAATTAAAGTATCGTTTCGTAAAAATAAAAAAAATATAAAATTTACCGCCGTCAAGAGCTGATTCACTCTATCGTGTGAATAGTTGAATTCACTAATATTGTCCATCAGTTTGTTGATTTGTATTTTTTTTTTTGATATCCGAAAATAGGAACATTAACCGGATCTTCGTAAATCTGGATATCCGAATAATTGCACAAACGAATATTAACCGGATATCCATACTATCCGGATTTTATTCGGGTCAACGGATAATCCGCATGGATATCCGGATATTCGAATATGCAGATAGTCCCAGCCCTACGTTACATATTGCTAGTGCCCTACTTGCAAATAAATCACAAAGTTTTATAGTTAAAGTTTGTTTTAACTACTTCTAAATAAATTAAATTGGCTATAGTACGATTAAGCTGATTTATCGATATGCAGCACAAACACTTGTACGAATATGCATATGCGCATGCATATGCAAATCCTTTACTACATAAAACGGTTCAATGAAGAGATTGAATGTAAATTGGTTATTTACATGCCACAAGCATCTTCGACTAACTCCTTACACCTGTTTGAAGTGGCATAAGCACTGCAATTTCGCGATTGAGTTTGAAAGCTTCGCGCTAATTTTATAAGTAGATACCAGTTGTTGATGAAAGTTGTAACATCCAATTAAAATTTAACATAATGCCAAAACGCAAAGTTTCAATAACTAAATAAATGTATTTGCATAAAAAACTAATTTTACCTTGCGTGCCAAAGCATATGTATACTCAGATATGTACATACATACACACATATGTCTTTATTTATTTAAATACAATTCAATTATTCAGAAAATCCAAAAACTTTAAGATTGCCCGCTTCCCGTCTTCGATCGTTATTATCTTTGTCGTCACAAGCATAGGCAAGTAAATATTGCTTCGGATGCCATGCCACTGTAAAAGTTGCTGCATCTACAGTGACATCTGCAACTTTTTCGCCAGTTTCTGTATGCGCTATATCTATGAGCAAGTCTTCACTAGCCGACGCCAAAAGTTTGCCGTCGTGACTGAAAGAAATGGTGCGTACAGGCCAATCCAAACGTGAGAGCACCCGCAGGCACGCCAGTTCATTTGCGTCCCACAGTGAGACAAGTGCATCCGCTGAACCCGTTGCGAAGTATTTACCTGTTGATAGAAAATACAACAAATTAACGATAGTATAGGCCAAGAGTAAAAATTATGACTGTACCGGTAGGATCAAATTCTATGCAAATACAAGTAGCTGGGTGAGCTTTTAAAACGTGCTGCAATTCCAGACTAGGGTAACTTAATATATGCACGCATCCCAAGCCGTTAGTCAAAAAAAACAGATCACTCGTATTATTCCAAGCAATTTCGTTTACCTAAGAAAACAGAATTTAAATTGGTCCCTGAACCAGACAAAAAGAAAAGAAATTACCTCGAAATTGAATTGTTCCTCAGCTCGTATTTTGTTTGTACGAGTATCAATAAATGTTACCAAGTCTTCTTTATTACCAACCGCAATGGTTTTGCCATCAGGCGACCAGGTGATGTTTATATTTTCGCCTTTAGTATTTGTCACGGTGGAACACTTGCCAGCGCGTATGTCCCATATACGTACAGTCTTATCACCACTAGCTGTACTTAACAGATCGGGATTTGTTGCATGCCAGCATAGCTGATCCACCGAACCGGTATGGCCGCGGTACGTATTCTCCTTGCTCTGTGCAATGTATGAATTTTATAGAAATTAAAATGAAAGGCAAGCAAATATCACCTACCACACGATCTCGTTCTAGTGTATAGACCGCCACAGTTTTGTCAAATGAACCAGATGCCAAGCGTCTCCCATCACAGCTCCAACCAACAGAATGCACCTAACAAAGGATAAATAAGTTTTAGTTCTTGAAAGTACCACGCTACAAAATCTGAACTTACTTTTGATGTGTGTGCTTTTTGTTCGCGAATTTTACCGTGGGTTTTGAAATAGGTTCGCAGCTCCTCCAAATTTAAGTGTGATTGCCCCATTTCTGGTAATGACTTTGTAGCAAAACTATTGAAATTTTGATAATTTACCACAAATTGACGCCAGTGTTGCCGCGCCATCCCAAGAAAATGTATCACCGACCAAGCCAAAAATGTATCCAATTTGGGAAAATTTTCCAAAACGGATCCAGGCTTTGAAAAAAAAATATATTAGGGAGTATAGAGGAGCTTTTTCAGATTCTAAATCTGAAGACCCCACCCTCCGGAGGCTTATAGTTTTAAAGTAATTCGCATTTAAAGTTGCAAAAAAATACCGAATTTAACCTCACCTTTTGCTTTGTACACCAATTGAAGTGAAATGTCAGTGCTGCCATACATATGAAAAAATGCCTCAAAAACACAAAACGGAAGCAATAAAAAAATGCAGATAATGATCGCGCGATATTTAATAAAAAAATTTCATTATTTATTGGTTGATTTTTGATTAAAAAGTTGCATAATTTATCGAAGTATCGATTTTATAATAAAAAGCGATGTTTTATTAAAAATGTTCATTATTCATCGAAGTATCGATTTTTAGAATATAAAGCGCCGCAGTCGAAAATTTTTAATAAAACATCGCTTTTTATTATAAAATCGATACTTCGATAAATTATGCAACTTTTTAATAAAAAATCGACCAATAAAAAATTAAATTTTTTTATTAAATATCGCGCGATTATTATCTGCATTTTTTTATTGCTTCCGTTTTGTGTTTTTGAGGCATTTTTTCATATGTATGGCAGCACTGACATTTCACTTCAATTGGTGTACAAAGCAAAAGGTGAGGTTAAATTCGGTATTTTTTGCAACTTTAAATGCGAATTACTTTAAAACTATAAGCCTCCGGAGGGTGGGGTCTTCAGATTTAGAATCTGAAAAAGCTCCTCTATACTCCCTAATATTTTTTTTTTCAAAGCCTGGATCCGTTTTGGAAAATTTTCCCGATTTCCAAATAAAAGTTTGACAGGTCAATTATCAAAATGGGAAATTTATCACTTAATCAAGTTTATCAAGAGTTTATCACTTTTGATGAAGCCCCTACTATGTGGATGTTCACTGAATAAAATATATATGCTCACTAAAATATATAAGCTAACTAGGTTTTTTTCATGGTTCGTTCATGGATTATTTCAGCATGATTCATGATTTCACCAGATTACAGATCTTGCTTCAAAATGTAACTATTCTATTATCATCAACGAGTGTCAGCAGAAACTGTTGAATTTTTTGATCACGTGAAAATATGGCAGCACCTCAACAAACAGCTGCAAATTTTTGGCGCGGTTGTCGAATTGGCTTTGTGAATTTTGGCTTGGTGGTCCACAATTTTAGCACTTAAGCATTTTGTTTTTATATAAATCAATGCAAATCAAGAACGGTGTGCATTTTAGTTAAGTACAAAGTATTAGATTAAAAGTGGCTATCGAAAAAAGCAAGAAATATGCGTGCAGACCAAAAACAAACAGTTGCTGTCAATCGAGAGTCGCGTAGACGTGCTGCAGTCGAATGTGAAGCCGCTTTTGGTAGTCCAGTTAGAAAAGTTGGTGGTGTTGATAGTTTCAAAAACAACTCATCACAAAAAAACAAAAAAATGAGTAGTGAAAAGGGCAAGTTATTAAAAAGTCGGGAAAATAGTGAACCACGAACGGTGACGCCTACGGCCGGAACAGCCTCGGCGGATATGGAGGGAAGAAGGAAAGATGCGTCGACATGTATTGGTTCAAATCATAAACTATCATCGTCTACGCCACGAAGTAAGCTGTCTATATATTGTAGAAAATATGTATATTCTAATATAATATTCAATTTGCTTTAGGAAAACGTGATTTATTGGCAAATTTATATTCTGATTTGAGTCCAAAGTATATCGGATTTAGTACACCACCTTCATCTACTGCAGGTGGTAACAATGGTAGTGAGAGCGACGGGGGCTTACAAACGAGAAGTGCTCGCCGCCGCAAATTACTTGTGTATGCCGATAGTCCCGATTTGGGTGGTAGCGATAGTGAAGTTTTAGCGGATACTTCAACAACGCTACTAGGCTGTGTGAGACGTACCGGTAACGAATCGGTAACGCCTTCGCCAAATAGGTTATCAGCGCGCAAGAAGTTTGAAAGTCCCATTGATAAATTGCTTGCACGAAACGGTTCAGTGGTACTAAATGACATTAGCAAAGAAAAAATAGTGAAAAGCTTAGACGTGAGTGCAGAGCCTAAATTAAATACCATAAATAGTGAAAGTGCACCTGAGCCAAAAGAAGAATGCACTGAAACTCAGTGCGACGAGCTGAACACCAACGATTTGACAGAAGTGGCAGAAACGCCGCAGGAAAATTGCCAAACAAATTCTGAAGAAACGGAATGCAATGGATTTGATACAATAGAAAAAGCGATTGAAGAAGGCGTCAATGAAGATGTCCAGGATAATCAAGAAGGATGTAAAGAAATGATTATAGACACTGAAAAGAAAGCAGACAATTCGGAAGGGCGCTCAACTGAAACCGCTACTGAGGTGAAAAGTAAAGAAATTCCGGATGTGCAAAATCAATTAGCAATCTATTGTGGGTCCCCAGCAAAAGAGAACGATAATAAAGATCAAATTGGGAATACAAAGATTCCTGAAAAATCAGAACTTTCTGAAGAAAATTTTCTTAGCAATCAAGTAGTAGTAGTTAAGATAGAAAATGAAAGTTTCGAAAATATTGCAGAATGCAATTCAGAAATCGTGGAGAATCACACTGATAGTGCAGACGCGATATTGCAGTATGACGCGGAAGGAGGGGAAAGCGGTGAATCAATGATATTAAATAATGCTGTCGGCATGAGTGCAAAATCGCCTTCAGCTGTCAGCTTAGATAGTGCGAAGGGTTCCTCCGTTGTGACCGGTATGGCATGGATGTCGTTTACAACCGGAGATCTCTTCTGGGGACAAATATACACGTACTGCTATTGGCCTTGCATCGTTTGTCCGGACCCCGACGGGAAGACGATTACCACTGAACGAAATGTGCGTAATAGCGAAGAGTATGTCTTGGTGCATGTGCGCTTCTTTGCTGATAGCGGTCGGAGAAACTGGGTGAAACGCGAGAATCTTATTCCATATACCGATCTCGAAAATTACAAACAACATATGCGCGAAGTACGCAAAAAGTATGGCAAGAAGAGTGCCAAATACAGGTTACTCTTACCAAAGCCCAGCAAAGTAATGATTTGGCGGGAAGCAATCAAAGAAGCAAATAAGGTCGCCGAAATTCTCTATGAAGATAGATTAAAAAAGTTCTTTGAAATGTACGAGCACAAGAAGTAAGTAAATATTTTAATACATAGCAACAGTATCGTATTTTTTCTTTTATTGACAACATAAATATATTTTTAAATAGACACAAATTTTATGCATATTTTTAAATTGTTCCTCATTTTATTTTTACTAATTGTATTACTTGTAGAAGCCTGCAAAAATTACAAAGGAAACAACGCAAATTGAGTATCGACAACGGCAGTAGTACCAGTAGTTTTCGACACGACTCAATGGAAAGTTTGATTGTAAAGAATCCCCTGGCTGCAGGAAAAAGAGACCGATCTGCTTCGCCATATAGCCCGGCCTTCTCGCCACTGAAATCAGTATCAAGCATCAAGCGAAGAAAATTAAGCGATGCTTCAAATCATGGAGCAGAGGTATCAGAAAAGATTGCCGAAAATAACAGCGATGTTATTGAAAGCTCTAAAAATGCCAGTACGACGCAAACGATGGACGGAGATGCAAATACGTCGAGCTCATTTACATCTTTGCATGCGGTAGAGCTAAGCAGCAGCGACGAATACAGAAACTTCTACCATGCAATGAAAGAATTTGTACTGGAAGATAATAAAGATGAAATTTTAGAAAGAAGTTTGATTGTGGCAGCTCGAAACATTTGGGCCCTGAAGCAAATTAATCGGCAACAAATGCAGAGACGGTTACTGTCGGTCAGTAATGAGCAAGAGCTGGGCTCCAGTCTTGTTGAAAGTGGCAGTAATCAAGGCACTGTTAAAAGACTGTCCAATAGGTTGAGAACTATGAGGTGCCGTCATAGCTTACCTGCAAAAATTAAAGCCGTGCCACAAATTGAAATACTGGAAAGCCAGCCAAGTAAGGATCAGGTAGTTCAGTCAGTTGAAAAGCCGAAGCGGCCTTTGAATCGACCCATTGAGGAAGTTATCGATGACATTTTCAACTTAGATAACAAGTATTTATTTCGGGGATTGGCTCGTGATCCCGTTTGTAAGTACTGTCTTCACCCCGGTGGTCTGTTGGTTAGGTGTGCCAAAGGCTGTCTATCATGGTTGCATGCTGATTGCATTGGAAAAAATCCAAATGTGGGAAAGAAGCCGAAAGCTGCGATGGGTCGAAAATACGAGAGTAGCAAATCAAGGCGCGATTCGGCAAAATGGTCAATTGATACAAAAACTTCGCAAAATATTCATCCAGATTTTGATCAAGAACGGGCTGGTACATCGTTATCAGTAATATCCTACCATGTTACTGCGGACGCTGACGCTGAACCCGATGTTGATAGCAGCATCAACGAAAAAGTTACAGATGTTGTTTGTGACTCCTGCGCTTTGGGGAAACCACCCATCTGTGCTGTGTGTACAAGCGATAATCCTTCCGAACCTAGCAGAGAGGAACTCGTCATGTGCAACATGCCTCATTGTTCTAAAGCGTTCCATCCATCCTGTTGCAGATATTGGCCTCAAGCAAAATTTACCAAATCGAAAAACAAAATCGAGTCTTTTCGCTGTCCATCTCACGTTTGCCATACGTGTGTGTCAGATGATCCCAAGGGCAAATTTCAACATTTAAGTAATTCCAAACTTACGAAATGCGTTAAATGCCCTGCCAGCTATCACATGGACTCAACGTGCATACCGGCAGGTTCCCAGATACTAACTGCAGCACATATCATTTGCCCACGCCACAACGACTCTGGTAAATCCGATGCGCACGTGAACGTCAATTGGTGCTTCATTTGCGTAGGCGGCGGACAAGTAGTTTGTTGTGAAACATGTCCCACCGCTGTTCATGCAAAATGCTTGAACATCCCACTGGATCCAAGTGAAGGTTACATATGTGAGGAGTGCGAGTCCGGTCGTTTGCCACTATATGGAGAAATGGTGTGGGCCAAGTTCAACTCATTTCGGTGGTGGCCGGCTATAATCCTACCACCCACGGAAATACCACAAAATATAAGACGAAAATCACATAATTCGAATGATTTCGTCGTTCGCTTTTTTGGTACACATGATCATGGATGGATATCCAGGCGGCGTGTTTACCTATATTTGGAGGGTGACAGCTCCGAGCCGCCCAAAACGAAATCAAGTAAGATGTTTATGTTCCTTTAAAAATATTTACAAATACGCGAATTCCAACTTTTAGGTTTAGACCAGAGTTATAACAGAGGTGTAGAGGAGGCTAAGCGCATATATGAAATTATTAAGTCAAAGAAACTCGCACAACGTCTATCGAACGAAAGCAAAGAAAAGTTGCATCCGCAACCGTATGTGCGCATAAAGGCAAATCGTGCCGTTCATCCCGTCAAATTACATATTGACTTGGATAAGGTGAATAAATGCGAATGCAAGACGTACGATAAAGATCCATGTGGGCCAAACTCAAATTGCTTAAATCGCGTTCTCTATCATGAGTGCAATCCAAAGGTGTGTCCAGCGGGTGAACGCTGTCAGAACCAAATGTTTGAGTCAAAATTGTCGCCTCGTCTTGACGTTGTCTATCTGAGAGAGCGGGGATTCGGTTTAGTGTGTCGTGAGCCAATCAGTATAGGAGATTTTGTCATTGAATATGTTGGCGAAATTATTGATGACAATGAGTTTAGGCAACGAATGTCTCAGAAGTCTTTAGATCGTGATGAGAACTTCTATTTTCTATCCGTGGAAAAGGACTATATTATTGACGCGGGACCAAAAGGAAATTTGGCACGTTTCATGAATCATTCCTGCGATCCGAATTGTGAGACACAGAAATGGTCAGTGAACGGTTTGAACCGTATAGGACTTTTTGCTATAAAAGATATACCGGCGGTAAGCATTTCTAAATAACCAATATTAATTTATTCAAATGGGTGAATACCATGAACATACATATGTATATAAGTGTGCATATATACAATTTTTGATTTTATAGGACACAGAGCTCACTTTCAATTATCACTGGGATGATTTGCTTGGCAATGAGAAGAAAATATGCTTATGTGGCGCAGCAAAATGTGCTGGTGAAATTGGTGGAAAAAACAAAGAAGAAAAAGTGCCTAAAGTGAGTTCAAATGTTTATTGAGTTTTCATATGGAATGCATATGTACATACGTTTTTGATTATTAGGAGAATTCTGCTGTGGATGTCAATAAGGCAAAGTCCAGTGCTGCACGTAAAAGGAAGCCGCTGAAAAGGCTGCAGAATCGTATGCGCGAAGGAAATGAGAAGAGAGATCGAAAAAAGCTGTCGAATAATGTTAGTGTTAAGACTCAGGAGAAATCGGCTAAAGCCAATACAAGCACTAAATTGGCAGATCAACAATTATCTGGAAACACGGGTAATGATGCGCCGGAGGAAGATAGTAACATAATCGATATTACAGCCAATGACGATGAAAATGGCGAATCTACAAATCTATTTTGATACAAGTAATTTTTCAGTTCGCATCTCGTTTCGTGCATGTATAGAGATATCCTTAAAAATTTCTGTTTATAACGTGAGTAAAAATTTTATTGTTTAAAAATTGTTTTCGTAAATAATGTAATTATTTTTGCAAAGAGGGTCGATCATACGTATTTTCATCGATCATTATAAAAAGAAGTACATAAATTGATCGTTAATAGTTTATTTTTAGCTTCCTTCTTCCATATAGTCGTAAGTGATAATTACAATTTATTTACCGAGCCCAAATCTCACCGATAAGTGAAAAACTAAGCATATAATTGTTTTATTTAAAATAAACAGCTCTATGCCATTAAAAAGCATTATATTCTATTTTAAAAAATAGTCTGCAATAATCAATTCACTTTAAAGACTTCGTCCGTGTAATTAAATTGAAAACTTAAGCGAATCCAACGTAAGTGGTTAATTGAAATAATTAAGCTTTTACATGTTGAAAACATCATTTGAAACTTTGCGTTGTATATTGGTTCTAATACTTTTGTCAGCACAAGCGAAAGTATATCGGCAGAATAGTTCCCGTACGAGGAGGAGCAGCTACCACCTCTGGCAGTCCGTCAACCTGTGGGACACGCCAGAGCGAAGGCTAGACCTGGTAATTGGTTGTGATGCAAATGGACACCACCAACTTTGTGAATGTTTCGATCATTCTGTAATGGGGTTAGGAAAGAACTTATTGATACTGGAGGGTATCAGATACCTGTTTCTTTTTGGGCCACAGTAGGACACTCTACCTTTATTCTGAAGTAAAAGCATCACAAAGCAGACTGGGAAAAATTTTCTAGAATAGCATCGAACATACTAACAGCGATCAAAATATTACAGCGATATTTCGGAATTGTTTTTTAAGAGGGTTGTCACCATGCATGGTACAATAAAAACAGGTAGAAGCCAAATTGACATCAAACCTACAAAAGTCAAAGTTTTCGGGAGAGTAAAAATAAAAATGAGCGTGTGTAAGGAAAAATAAAAAATTACATTTCGCTGGTTGACGTTTTTGAGTAAATTTGAAGTTTTGTTTCTATTTATTTATTTTTCTTTAGTTAAAATTTGTTAATTTGTATGTTGTTTTATGTTTTTAGTTTATGAGTTGCAGTGTTGTTGGAGGGACTTTCCGGCATAAGGGTCATAGGAACAGCACTTGGCATCAAACGTGCCTTTCCTGTACCTCCCGGTGCATTTATGAAATCTGCAGTTTTAAAATGTTTAACGCACAGCAAGGCATTTCGCTGCAGCTCTGGCCCACAGCTGCTTTCGCAACGCTCTTTACGCGAAGGACATTGAGGCACGTTAAATGGTATCTGCTTTATATTTAACACCACATAAAAAACAACGCTTCGGTGTTGCATTTTTAACACATACATTAAATATAAACTGCACAGCACTACAAAAATTCAAATGTTAATTAAAATTTGTTATTAACGAACATTAAAAAAAAAACAACGATATGACATTCAAAGCGTAACGAAATATAGGAAATAAATGAAAAACAAGTTGAAGTTTAAAGGTTTGGTTCTCATGAGAGCAACGTCATTTTGGCTTCTACCTGTATTTATGTGCCTTGGGTTGTAACATGTTAAAAAAGTAAAACTCAATTCATAACTAAATATACTTTAATACGGTTGCTGTCTGTTTAAAAAGTTAGAATCAATTCTATTAAAAAGTTTAAACGAAATATTTTAATGTGGTTATCAAACGAGATAGGCAAAATGCATCATTGTAGAAATATTTTTAGAGAGTTGTCATCTTTTCAAAAAGTTAAAATCAGTGCAAATAACACGTTGAATAAAATATTATTGTGAGTCAGGTTTACGAAAGCTTTATTTCGAAAATAATTTTGATTGGGGTTGCCTCCTTTTCAAAAACAAGTTAACCGTTCGTAACCTGGCAAAGGGAAATTTCCATACACGCTGCCCTAACCTATTTTCAAACGTCAAGTAAATGTTAATCTTTTTCCAAAATGTTGTGGCGGAAGTCTTAAAATCAGCCCAATTCCGAATATTCCCGACGAGTTTGTTCTCCGGGAATTTGTTTCTCCCGAGGAAGAACTCCTCCAATAATTAACTCCGAGGTAGTAGAATTTTCCCCGAAAGTTTGGGAAGAGGAAATTCGAACTTCGGAAGAGCTGTTGTGACAGCTCAACTCCGCCATTTAAAGTAAAAAATTCTAAGGAATTTTTATTCATGATAGGAGGAAAGGTAAAAGAGAGAAAAGTCCCAGGGAGTTTCTGTTCATAATCGGCCTAAATATGATTTTAAACGCGTAAATGCCTCGTAACCGCGTAAACCTCTTAAATAAACCGATTTTCCATACAAAATTAAAAAAGTTTACGAGGTTTACATGGTTACGAAGCAATACGCGTTTAAATGAATTGGCCTGATAATTTTACAATTCCGATGGAAAAACAGCCCCGACTGCTTCTTTTTTTAATAAAGTGTGATGCAGATTTGCGAAATGTTTTCTTAAAAAATGTATTTTTATTTTCATTCTTACTTTTACAGAACCTTATGTATCTAAAGCAATTTTATTACAAAAAAATAGAGCTACATATATCACATAGCCCATATTCATGCTTAGTGCCATCAAAATCGTCAAGAACCAAAATCTTAACTAACCTCGACTTGTACAACTCATTATTTTATTTTATTATATTTATATAAAAATGACAGAGTTAATTAAAAATGGCCTATGTGAAATTTTTTTATAATAACGCTCTCATTCTAATTAAAACTATTTCGAATAGTTCTTTATTACAAGTTGTTCCTTTAAGCTAAGCTATTCAGTCGGTAAATTCATTAGTTTTGTTGTTAATTTTTGGATTACGTTGCGTTGTATGAACTCATTTACTTAGTCTGTCAACAACCGTGAGTACCTGATGATATTTCGTTGTTAAGCAGGAGAAATTGCAACTATAAATTCGTGAGCTGACCCCTATTTATTTGACAATTATACGATTTGTCTTTTAAAGAGGCAAGTAGCCGTATTTGGTTGGAACAATTTTTGATATTCTTCCAACAATTGTCTTTATAGACTCTTTCGACGTCTCATATAGTGTTCCGAGCGTTAAAAGGCGCAGCCCATGATCATTACAAATCTCCAAAACTGACCATTTCTCCAGCAGTTTTAAACAATTTCGCACCGAATCTGTCGAAACGCTTTCTGCTGCAATGTACAATTAAGAGTTGTCAGATTTCCAATCGGAACAATTGAATAACTGCACTTACCATATGGACAAGCTCCAGTTTTCACCTTATTCGAAATATCAGCAATTACAAATTTTATAAATTCAGTTTCGAGCATAGAATTTTTGTAAAGAATACTTAGTGACTGCGCCACTGAGTAGTATGTGTGACTAAACGGTGCCAGTACTTCACAAAGCGCTTTCTGTTCAGTCAGTGTGTCGAGCGCCAAAAATAAGTCTGGCTGTTCGTTTTGATTGTAAATTTCTTCCTGCTCGTAATCGGTATATTCGGAATCATCTGTATCGTCTAGGTACGCTGCAATATTACGCGCAATTTTGCGGCTTTCGGCATTGCAGTCAGGCTCTTCTTTTATCTAACGTATGGAATGGTTAATTAAATACAATTCAAACAAATGTGAGAATACCTACTTCAGGCAACTTTATCAATCCGTGCACAATCAGTTCGTCTAATGAAACCTCCAAAAGGTTACTCAATACCTGAGTTGGTTTATGCAAAATAAATTCGTAACGCAGTACATCACAGTTTGCTAAAGCAGCATCAATAAGATTTTTCCTCGAAAGTCCTGGCAGTTTGGCTGCGTCTGTTTCCTATCGGTTCAAAATAAAATTTTTTTAACTACGGCAAACAAATGTGTAATTATAAACAATGACGCATTACCCCTTCAAGTGGCTTTCCGTCCACTGGTTTCGGCAGCAATTCGTGAAATGTTATCATCATTACAGATTGTAGGGCAAAGTATGGTGTCAACATATTTGAATAGTAAGACAACTCAATTAAACTCTCGATACTTTGTACTGGTTGTAAGTAAACTTGTCCGCGGTCGTCCAGCGTCCGCGATATCAACGCTAAATAACCATTAAACCATTTATTATTGGTAAACAAATTTTTTTACATTTTTCGGTTCATACCTTCACCCAATAAATCACATGAGTATTTGAGTATATGTAGAGAGTCTCCAGCGAAAGCCATATCTTTACGTCCTTTCAAATGATCGCGTAGCGAATCTAATGCTTCAGCAATCTTGATGATTGATGCTCCGCTACGAAAACGTGTTAACATTAAGAATGCCAGCGCATTTGTTGACATGACTGATGTTGCGGCGGCGCAGTCAAACACAACTTCTCGTGAAATGCTTTCTATTAGTGTGCGGTGCTCTTCGCAAACTACGTCGGTGCCATACAATGAAGATGTTGACTGATTATGCTGTAAGGTGCTGTTAAAAAATATATGTATTTTGTATATTAATCAGTTTTAATCGTCAATCTACGTACCGTTCAGAAGGTTTGTAAACTTTGAAGGGGCTATTGTCTGTTGCAATCTTATTATAGGATTGCACGAGTTCTTTTATAGAGTAGGGTTCATTGAAATCGATGCGCATAAGACCGTATTTTGAGTGGAGTGTCTGAAAGTATTATGTTAATGCGAAATGGTACTAGATATTTCCAGAATGTCAACCGACCTTCCAAATTCCTGCCATGGCTTTCCAGAAGGACTCTGGTACTTTCTTCTCGCCTTTTTGTTCCCGCACGAAATTTCCATCGACTAGGCGTTCATAATTAACAGAAACGGGTACCAAAAGTGCATCTGGTATGCTACGATCCATAAAAGCGTTAACAATCACCGATAATATGCCGCCTTTTGGCATACAAGGTTTGCCAGTACGGGTGCGTCCACCCTCGATGAAGAACTCAACATTGTGTGACATTTTTAGTGCATGTTGGAGATATTGTTGCAAGATTGCGCGATAGAGTATATCTTTTTTCCCCACGACAGGGTCGATTTTTCTTTTAATGAAAAAAGCACCTAGTGAACGTAAAAGACCGCCAAATACCGGAATCTGTAAGTTGTCTCCAGCAGCCACTAGCGGGCTACGTATATCATTGTTGGTCAAGATAAATGTAACCATTATGTAGTCAAGATGGCTACGATGCAATGGCAGAAATATTAATGGTATGCCAGGTGCACGTTCCGATGCCTTTTTTAATGTTTCTATTTGTCTTGTGTGTGTGACGACGCCTGATAAGAAGCATGGAAGAAGTTTGTAGAGCAACCAAGATGTAAGCATTATCAGGTAGTGGTTCAAGGTTGAACGCATATTCATTAAAATATTTTTGGCACGGCATTCCTGACTTTTAAAGATTTCCTGATACTTTTTCAACTCTTCCTCTGCATCGGTTGGCGCTTCATTATTTATTCTAAATGTTTTATGTGTTTCAATACGCTGTTCACGTATAATTTGTTCAGCAGCTTGCTTGATTGCACGCTGCAGCATTGGATCCTCCTGTACAACGCCGGAAACCTAGACAAGTGCATGATTTTGGACTGTAAATAGTTCTTTTACTTATAATATATTTAAATACCCACCTGTGGATATTCGAAACGTTTTATGCGCAAGCATTGTGCCAGAAACGGAAAGTATACACCCCAGTCGAACATTGAATGATACGGTTTCCGGCCGGCATGTGGGGTCAGCTCCAGCATGTTGTTGGTACCTTGAGCATGTGTGAGCGCATTTGGCTGTTTTGTTTCCTATAAAAACATAAAACGCGTCTGAATCAATTTGTGACGTAACTTGTGACAATTGCAACTTTATATGACTACTTATAACAAATACCGGCAATATGTAGAGTTACCGACCTCAAACCAACCACGCGCGCGGAATACATCGTCTGGCATGGTTAATTAAATACCAATCTGCTCACAACACTTGGAAGGTTGAACCGACTACAGAGCTCTAATAGATTTATATGAAGAGCCTCTACACAAAACTATCGAAAGTATTACACACTATAAAAGTTTATATGCAATGCAAATGTAGCAGTACCCAAATGCAAGAAATGAAAAAAAACCACAACTTTTTACCGCAATTACGCTTTGAGCTCGTTCGTTCACTAATGATGTGTTGAATTGCAGGTACCCAATACTTAAAAAAATTGCAGTACCCAATACTTCTGTTTCGGTACCTGATACCGATTCAACGCATCAACCATGATTCAATAATACAAGGTTAGATAATTATTAACAGCCTTA